CGGACCTTGTCGCGGGCGCCCCCTGGCGGCCATCCGCGGACACTGCACGTTCGGAGCACGGGGGCGGGGCTGAAGAAGTAGGGCGATAAGGGGGTGTGGTCTTCTCGCGTGAACTAATGACGTCACCGAAGCGACGGGTCCGGAAGGAAGTGGCGGGCTGAGGGGTGTGGCGGTTTCTGCGGTTGCAAGGGGGTTCGGAGGAGTACGGAGCGCCTGGAGGGACAGCCTGGTACGCGGCCCCCGCCCCTTAGTGCGTGCGCAGGGCCTAGCTGCGGCTCCCGGCCGCCCCGATGAGCGCTTCTCCCAGGCCCACCCCTGCAGCCTCTTCTCCATCAGCGAGAAAGCAGCCCCTTTCTCTCCCGAATCTCTCTCGCTAGCTCCCAAGCGGGACCGAGCAGAGGCTCTGGGAGCCCCAGCCCCTATCCAGGGCTCCTGGGATGCGCGACCTTCTCTCGGAAGGGGCGCAAGGTGGGCCGGGGGTGACATCGGAGGGGAAGGCCATTTGCAGAAAGGACGCAGCTGCAAATCCGTAGAGGGAGGCCGCCACGGTAAAATAAGCGCCTCGCAGATGTCCGCGTCCGACTTCTCTTAGACCCACGAGGCAGAGTCCACGCCCTGCGTGGGTTGGCCCAGGCACGCCTAACTGTGAACTTTGGTGTCAGTTACCCTAGTTTTTCCAGATCATTAAGTGTTCAGGAAATGAGTCTCTAGATGCCAACTCTTTAGCATCCTGGTGCCCGAACGCAGTTGGACCCAGGAGTCCAGAGTCTTCCCAGCCTGGGGAACCTCCTTTCTCTATCCATGGGCTTGGAGACCTGTTGAGAGCTAAATACCAGTGAGGTATATGTGAGGGAGTGTGGCTTCGGTCTTGTGCAGAGCCCTCTTCCATTTAGGGCCAAAGGAGTAACTGGGGAGGTGGGCGGAAGGCCAGAGAATCCCACCTTGGAACTCTGCATGCTGTCTCTGTGCTCCCCCATCTGAAAGGAGTAAATAATGGTTTCCTTTGAAGTGGCAGGCAATTAGGACCGGGAGGCTCTGACCAGAATTACATGCCACAACTGCCTGTCCTTTGACTTCCTCTGTAATTTAGGCCAACATACTGCAGCTGCCTCTTTCCCTTTTACTAGTGTGAGTGGTTCCAATGACAGCACATTCGTGTTCACAGGAAGAGAAGGCTGTGTTCTGAACGCTGCCCAGTTGGCACTGGTTCTCCCTTGGGACACAGCTCTTTCGGGAACCACTGCCTCTCCCACGAGGTGGGGAATAGAATTCCACAGTTAAGGATTGGGAATGTTGACTGAGAGCAAGGACGGAGAGATCTGTAGATATAGCCTCCTGTTCATAATACAACAGGCTGGATATGAGCTGCTTCCAGGGAGCTCAGCTTGGTGAGGTGCTCTTGCTGTCACAGCTTGTCTCCTGCACTGCAAACCATACACATTTTCCTGTATCTTTTTCCCTAGGATAAAGGTTCACTGATGGCTCAGTTGGGAGCAGTTGTGGCTGTGGCTACCAGTTTCTTTTGTGCAGCTCTCTTCTCAGCTGTGCACAAGATAGAAGAGGGACATATTGGGGTATATTACAGGTAAGGCAGAGACAGGGAGAAGCTTGCAACTTCCTATTAAATGACTCTTTCCTAGTCACTGTCTAGCAGATTTGGCTGAATATCTGTGTTTATATTTTGTTGAATGTGGAAGTCTTTTAGACTGAGCTTTTGTGTTAGTGACCATGGGAAGGGGAATATGTGTGTGTGTACACAGACACATAAATGTAAATATAAAGCTTAGTAGTCTAAGTTGATGGAATGGGAATTGATAATTGTATATAGAGATTTAGAGACAAAAACCTAAAGGCAGCCAGAGCTCCTTGCGGATTATCTCTGAAATACTGTTTTCTCCTATATCCCTCAGCATCTTGGTGCCACAGGTTACCAATGATGAGGACCAGTTCTTGATGGCAACTTGAGAAGTCTGCTCTATGAATTTGAACCTACTCTTTAAAATTAACATTTCAGGAAAAATGAAAGAGCCTGAAGGTTGATTCATATCAATCAAGGCAAACCCTAGGATAGTTCTTATAATAAAGGAGCTCATTATGTCACTGTTTATTTTATTACTTTTTTTTTTTTAATGTATCTTTATCTTCATAATGTAAAGCAAAGAAGCACTTACAAGTCTTGGATTACTTTCCTTTTAGTAATCTCCATAACCAAGTTTTTTGCTTTAAGTATTTATGACCCCATCTTATTATGTGCCCTATGATGCTTATTCCTGGATTGCCACTAGCAAGTTCTAAAAGTCTGGTTGGGTTTCCCACTCCCCTTTAATTATTTCTCCCTGCCATCTGCTTATATGTCCCCAAAAAAGGCTTTAATTTTACTAACATTTACATTCAAGTTGATTAGAAAGGTAACTGTACTTCCAAAAATATATATTAAAATGATTTGTAAAGTGTACTTAAAATTATTCTTTTGGTGTTGATGTCACTGGAATCCAACATTAGTGCAATTCATTGATAACTGTATTACTGGATTTAAGTGCCCAAATGGATTGCCACAAGTTCAACAGACACAACAAAGTAAAACAGACTTCCTCTCAAGTATAACCAGGGATTCTGCTGTCTTTATTCCACTTAGTCTGAGTGCCTGTTTTTCTCACTGCAAAAGCATGAATAGTGGTTTTATGTTTTAGCATTAGGCTTCCTAGAATATTAGGGTCTAGCCGGGAGGAAGGAAGGGATCTGTGGATGTGGCTCTGGCACTTGTCACTCTATATTAAACATTTATGTGTCTGAAGGGAAAGTTGGCCCAAAGAATATCAATGGAATATCAGTCTTGCTAAACTGAACCTGTGTCTCTCTTCTGCTCTGCAGAGGTGGTGCCCTGCTGACTTCTACCAGTGGCCCTGGTTTCCATCTCATGCTCCCTTTCATCACATCATATAAGTCTGTGCAGGTATACTTGGCTTGTGTGGTATGGCTGGACAACTGCAGATTTTGGGTGTTGACTAATGGCTGATTTGGAATTATTTAGCCATTGGATGAGTATAATGCCTTTTCAAGGAATCATTTAAGAATAAGTTTTACATATATAAAGAATGAGGCTCCATGGGCCATTAACTCTGGAGCTTTACTTGATTATTGAAATCATTGAATGGAGTCCTTGCCTTGGCCCATCATTTCCAGCTAGGAAGTATTTCCTCACTTCAAGACAAAGCCAGAGAAGAGTCTGTTTTGAATGTATAGAAGGAAAAGTAGAGTGTGTGTCTGTGTTTTAACTCACAGGCTAGCAAGATAACTGGAAATAAAATATGGTAATTTTGCTGGTTCTTATTTGAACTTCAGAGATGTGAACATAATTTTTGGGAAAGATGAGGGAAGTTGAACTTGGTGAAGGGAAATGACATCTAAAATAGGAGTAGGACTACCTATGACAGATCTAAAGCCTAGCTAAGTTAGACAAGCCATCTATGAAGTATGTCCAGTATCCTGGGATACTTCACCAACATTTTCCTTATAAGTTTCTTCTGCCATGTACTCTGCTTTATGGTTTTCAGAGTGCATTTATGCACATTATCTCACTTGAGTCTCACAGTAATTATGAGAATGGGCTGAGCAGGTCTTATAGGCTGAGGCAGGTTAAGTAAAGAATCTGTTTCAAGACCAGTAAATGAAAGAGGTAGAAATAAACACAGATCCTAGGATTCCTAGTCCAGGGTCTTTTTCACTAAACCATTATTACCCAGCTCATTTATATGATCATTCACTTACAGTAGAAGCTGGCTAAGTACCTTTGTTTGGTTAGTCTCATACGCTGTAAGTCAGGAGGATTCAGAGGGGTATCGATGTTTAACAAAAACAAAGCACAACCCAAATATGTATTCAAAGACAAGGACATTTGGGAGTCTAAAAATAAGTTACTTTGTCACTGCCCATCTTACAGCATTTTGTATCTCCTCTATTTCCAGACCACGCTGCAGACCGATGAGGTGAAGAATGTACCTTGTGGGACTAGGTAAGGTGCCTGGAATAAAGCTGTTAGGCACAAATAACAGGAAGGACTCTCGGGCTCGCTGCAATAAGAGACAGTGAAAAGGGAGGCACCCCTTGGTTTTACCAAGTTCCTTGCCCCTTAGCTCCCTATGTTCTGATTCCACTAGGGGATAGAGTACAGTAGAGAAAATCGCAGAAGTTAGGTTTAGGAGGGCTTCAAATGCTGTAAGAAGTTTGGAACTTTATCTCTTAGAAGTGAGGATCCTCTAAAGGCTTTTAGCAGATAAATGACTTGATAGAGGAAAATAACTGTAGCATAACTAACTACAGAGAATGTCTTAATGGTGGAGGAGGGCCTAGGGGCAGGAAATCCGAAGATGACACCACTATAGTGGTCTGGCTGAAAAGCAAAGGAGGTCTAAACTGGGATAGAGTCGCAAAGTAAACACCACAAGGAAACATTTGGGCAGGTCCAGAATTGGAACATCCCACAGGATAACAGGTCTAATCTTGGCACAAAGTCGTATTTGGAGGGACATTGGGTTGAAAAGGAGACTTAAAAGACAAACAAATGCAATGGTGACCCTTAATTAGAACCTGGTCCAAAACTAACAGCTGTAAAAGCCTTGATGAAATTTTATTAGTCAGCTTGGGCTGCCATAACAATACCATAGGCTAGATGGCTTAAACAACAGAAATTTATTTTCTCACAGTTATAGAAGCTCAAAGTCCAAGATCAAGGTGCCAGCAGGGTTGGTTTCTGGTGAAGCCTCTCTTCCTGGCTTGCAGATGGCCACCCTGCTGTGTCCTCACACGGCCTTTTTTCTGTACATGGGAGTGGAGGAGAAAGAGATCAGTTAGGGCCCCACCCTTATGACCTCATTTAACCTTAATTACCTCCTTAAGGGCCCTATCTCCAAATATAGTTACATTGGGGGTTAAAGTTTTAGCATATGGATTTGGGAGAGCACACAATTCAGTGCATAATAGGAATCACTGGGGAAATTTGAATGCCTGGGTATTAGGTAATATTAGGAATTATTGCTGATTTTCTTAGCTTTGGGAATGGCTTTGTGACTGTGTAGGAGAATGTCATTATTCTCAGGTGATCCTTGCTAAAGTGCTATGGGGGAAGTATCATGACTGTAACTTATTTTGAAATGTTCAGGAAAAAAAAGATCAATCTATAAGGTAAAATGTTAACAACTATTAAATTTCAGTGCTGGGAAATGGATTTTAGTTCTACTATTTCAACTTCTCTGTATGTTTGAAATTTTTGTATAATGAATATTTGGGGGAAAGGGGAAGTGCTGAACTAAAGTGATGGTGAAGACAAAGTGAGAAACAGTGACCATAAAATTCCAGTGACCTTTTAGGTTCTGAGCACTCCTCAACCTTCTTTAGTCTTTTTCCTTCAATTGATTGTTTTAGTCAAAACGCATTGTGGATTCAGAAGATATGAACTACTCTTTTCTTAGTGGCATATCAAAAGTTTCACTTTTTTCTTTACGGAATTATTTTTAGGAGGTGTGATTTCTCAGGAGGTCATATTGCTATAAGCTCTAAAGATCTTGTAGGTCCGACATGCCTCTGCCCTCCCGGGAACTCTTCTCCTTTTCTGCTAAGGCACTGTAGTCCAGAGCTTACTAGTGACTTTTTTGTCCATTCTTCCTCAAATAGTGGTGGTGTGATGATCTACTTTGACAGAATTGAAGTGGTGAACTTCCTGGTCCCCAGTGCAGGTATGGTTTTCCAGCTGACCCTTACCACCAGCTCACTTTTTCCAACATGCCACCCCAGTGTCTGTAGCAGCACCTCAGGAAGGGAGAGCTGCTATGTCAGAGCAAGTTTTTTTCCCTTTTTATTAAATTTTTTGGGGTGACACTGGTTAACAAAATTATACAGGTTTCAGGGGCACAATTCTACAACACATCATCTGTACACTGTATTGTGTGTTCCCCGCCCCAAGTCAAGTCTCCGTCCATCACCATTTATCCCCCTTTACCCTCCTCCACCTCCCCCCCACCCCTCCTCCCGTCAATCACCACACTGTTGTCCCTGTCTGTTATTTTTTTCTTTTTTCTGCCCAATCCTTCCACTCCCACCACCCAACTTCCCCACAGCTGTCAGCCTGCTCTGTATATGAGTCTGTCCCTCTGTATATTGAGCCCTGCCTCTTTATCTGAACTCCCTTCTCCCTCCCAGTGTATGACATAGTGAAGAACTACACTGCCGACTACGACAAGGCCCTCATCTTCAACAAGATCCACCACGAACTGAACCAGTTCTGCAGTGTGCATACACTTCAGGAGGTCTACATTGAGCTCTTCGGTAAGAAGTCTCTTGTGATCAGAGCCTGCCTTAGCAGCCCTGTTTCCCCCCACTGCCTACTTCTGAGCTACCCACAGGGTAGGATGGGCACTGCTGGACAGAAGGTGTTAAAGGATCCAGTGCTCTGGAACTGGTCACAAAGGACATTCCTAGAAAATGCTGGTGATAATGGAAGATCATGAGAGTGGTTGAGCTTTGGGCACAGAAGTAATAGTAAACTATAGACCTCACTCCTGGCCTGAATCAGAGGGCTGGAATGGAAATATGTTTCCACGGTCCCTAAAACATCATTCTGGTATGAAGACAGACTCAGTTCTAAAAGAACCTTAAAGATTATCCTGCCCAACAACATCATTTTAAGATAAGGGTACCGAGCCACAAAGAAAGTCGTAGAGCTAGTTGGTAGCAGCTGAAGCTAGAACCTCCCTCTTCTGGCCATCACTTTGTGTGTTTTCCAATCCATAACACTGAATGAAAGGCACCCAGGAAAGGGTGAAGAGAATAAGACAGCTCACCTCTAATTCTAGAAGTGGGACAAGGACCATAGCTACTTACAGTTCCCAGAACCTTTGTGGGGGGGGGGG